CCCAAAGCAAACAACCCTACCAGGTATGTCATAAGAGGCGACTAAGGATGGCTACTTTCAACCCATAAAAACCAACAGCCACAAAAAACCACAGCAGCATGGAAAAGTAAAAAACAATCAAAGGTAATACCCAGCCAGGAGCTAAAAAGGGGGGGGGGGAGATCGGGCACATGGTGCATGAGATAGCAAAGGAATGAAACGACTTAGCATGAGAAGATTGAGGGCCTTTGCTTTACTGAAGAATATTATTAGCATCATCCCGTGACACTACGTGTCGTTGGGTCACCAGTTTCTGTTGACTGTCTGATCAGCTCTCTCTTCCTTTAGCGGTCAGTTGCAATGGACTTCATGGCTGCATGCCTGAAGCCTGTCCAGTAAGTCAGGTTCTGTGAGCAGGTCTTTCTTGGTCTGCCACTTCTCTTTCCCAGAAGAAATGGAAATGAGGGTGTGTAAAACTGACATGGTATATTCCATTGGCAGAAAAGCAGCAGACCAACAGCAAGAGAGATTACTTGTGACTGCCATAGGTGTCTACAATGAATGAAGAGAGAGAGAGATAGAGACAGACAGACGGACAGACAGACAGACAGACAGACAGACAGACAGACAGACAGACAGACAGACAGACAGACAGACAGACAGACAGACAGACAGACAGACAGACAGACAGACAGACAGACAGACACACAGACAGACAGACAACATAGATTAGACACAGACAAATAGATTACATAGATTAGACAGCCAGCCAGCCAGACAAATTGATTAGACAGACAGACAGACAGACAGACAGACAGACAGACAGACAGACAGACAGACAGACAGACAGACAGACAGACAGACAGACAGACAGACAGACAGACAGACAGACAGACAGACAGACAGACAGACAGACAGACAGACAGACAGACAGACAAGGCAGAAACATAGTTCAGTATTCACATTCATATTCCCATACATGAACTAGGTTAAATAACAACACACACAAACATGTGCATACCTTTTTAGCATGCGACCTTCTGCTCACTATATTTATGTTTGTCATAGCTTTTACACATTATATTTTAAGAAGAATCTATAACTATGAAAGTTCTTTTCTTTATGTTCCATCAGACATCACTGTCCAGTCTAGATATTTAACTCACTGATGTTTATCTACTCTCAGCCTTGAAAGGGCCCCATTTCACAACATGAGACACACTAGGTGTTATGTTGCTCAACGCATATTCTAAAAGCACAATCAGCACTCTATGAGCGTGATGTGGCAATATCATATTAGATGTCTCTAAATATGTGTGGGTGTGTGTATGTGTACCTGTGTGTGCGCACACACGCCACTTATGTGTGTATTTGTAGAGAGAGAGAGAGTTAAAGAAATGGAGGAGGGGTGAGAGTGTGGGCCAGTCTAATGGAAAATGTGTCTTCTTGGAAATGACTGCTGGAAAATGTGTCTTCTTGGAAATGACTGCTGGGATTTGTCTTCTTGGAAATGACTGCTGGGATATGTGTCTTCTTGGAAATGACTGCTGGGATATGTGTCTTCTTGGAAATGACTGCTGCGATAAGTGTCTTCTTGGAAATGACTGCTGGGATATGTGTCTTCTTGGAAATGACTGCTGCGATAAGTGTCTTCTTGGAAATGACTGCTGGGATATGTGTCTTCTTGGAAATGACTGCTGCGATAAGTGTCTTCTTGGAAATGACTGCTGGGATATGTGTCTTCTTGGAAATGGCTGCTGGGATAAGTGTCTTCTTGGAAATGACTGCTGGGATAAGTGTCTTCTTGGAAATGACTGCTGGGATATGTGTCTTCTTGGAAATGACTGCTGGGATATGTGTCTTCTTGGAAATGACTGCTGGGATATGTGTCTTCTTGGAAATGACTGCTGCGATAAGTGTCTTCTTGGAAATGACTGCTGGGATATGCATCTTCTTGGAAATGACTGCTGGGATATATGTCTTCTTGGAAATGACTGCTGGGATATGTGTCTTCTTGGAAATGACTGCTGGGATATGTGTCTTTTTGGAAATGACTGCTGGGATATGTGTCTTCTTGGAAATGACTGCTGCGATAAGTGTCTTCTTGGAAATGACTGCTGGGATATGTGTCTTCTTGGAAATGACTGCTGCGATAAGTGTCTTCTTGGAAATGACTGCTGGGATATGTGTCTTCTTGGAAATGACTGCTGTGATAAGTGTCTTCTTGGAAATGACTGCTGGGATAAGTGTCTTCTTGGAAATGACTGCTGGGATAAGTGTCTTCTTGGAAATGACTGCTGGGATAAGTGTCTTCTTGGAAATGACTGCTGGGATATGTGTCTTCTTGGAAATGGCTGCTGGGATAAGTGTCTTCTTGGAAATGACTGCTGGGATATGTGTCTTTTTGGAAATGACTGCTGGGATATGTGTCTTCTTGGAAATGACTGCTGCGATAAGTGTCTTCTTGGAAATGACTGCTGGGATATGTGTCTTCTTGGAAATGACTGCTGCGATAAGTGTCTTCTTGGAAATGACTGCTGGGATATGTGTCTTCTTGGAAATGGCTGCTGGGATAAGTGTCTTCTTGGAAATGACTGCTGGGATTTGTCTTCTTGGAAATGACTGCTGGAAAATGTGTCTTCTTGGAAATGACTGCTGGGATATGAGTCTTCTTGGAAATGACTGCTGGGATTTGTCTTCTTGGAAATGACTGCTGCGATAAGTGTCTTCTTGGAAATGACTGCTGGGATATGTGTCTTCTTGGAAATGACTGCTGGGATATGTGTCTTCTTGGAAATGACTGCTGCGATAAGTGTCTTCTTGGAAATGACTGCTGGGATATGTGTCTTCTTGGAAATGGCTGCTGGGATAAGTGTCTTCTTGGAAATGACTGCTGGGATATGAGTCTTCTTGGAAATGACTGCTGGGATATGTGTCTTTTTGGAAATGACTGCTGGGATATGTGTCTTCTTGGAAATGACTGCTGCGATAAGTGTCTTCTTGGAAATGACTGCTGGGATATGTGTCTTCTTGGAAATGACTGCTGCGATAAGTGTCTTCTTGGAAATGACTGCTGGGATATGTGTCTTCTTGGAAATGGCTGCTGGGATAAGTGTCTTCTTGGAAATGACTGCTGGGATATGAGTCTTCTTGGAAATGACTGCTGGGATATGTGTCTTCTTGGAAATGACTGCTGGGATATGAGTCTTCTTGGAAATGACTGCTGCGATAAGTGTCTTCTTGGAAATGACTGCTGGGATAAGTGTCTTCTTGGAAATGACTGCTGGGATATGAGTCTTCTTGGAAATGACTGCTGGGATATGTATCTTCTTGGAAATGACTGCTGGGATATGTATCTTCTTGGAAATGACTGCTGCGATAAGTGTCTTCTTGGAAATGACTGCTGGGATATGTGTCTTCTTGGAAATGACTGCTGGGATATGTGTCTTCTTGGAAATGACTGCTGGGATATGTATCTTCTTGGAAATGACTGCGGGGATATGTATCTTCTTGGAAATGACAGCTGGGATTTGTATCTTCTTGGAAATGACTGCTGGGATAAGTGTCTTCTTGGAAATGACTGCTGGGATATGTATCTTCTTGGAACTGACTGCTGGGATAAGTGTCTTCTTGGAAATGACTGCTGGGATATGTGTCTTCTTGGAACTGACTGCTGGGATATGTATCTTCTTGGAAATGACTGCTGGGATATGTGTCTTCTTGGAACTGACTGCTGGGATATGTATCTTCTTGGAAATGACTGCTGGGATAAGTGTCTTCTTGGAAATGACTGCTGGGATATGTATCTTCTTGGAAATGACTGCTGGGATTTGTATCTTCTTGGAAATGACTGCTGGGATAAGTGTCTTCTTGGAAATGACTGCTGGGATATGTATCTTCTTGGAAATGACTGCTGGGATATGTGTCTTCTTGGAAATGGCTGCTGGGATAAGTGTCTTCTTGGAAATGACTGCTGGGATATGAGTCTTCTTGGAAATGACTGCTGGGATATGTGTCTTTTTGGAAATGACTGCTGGGATATGTGTCTTCTTGGAAATGACTGCTGGGATATGTATCTTCTTGGAAATGACTGCTGGGATAAGTGTCTTCTTGGAAATGACTGCTGGGATATGTATCTTCTTGGAAATGACTGCTGGGATTTGTATCTTCTTGGAAATGACTGCTGGGATAAGTGTCTTCTTGGAAATGACTGCTGGGATATGTATCTTCTTGGAAATGACTGCTGGGATAAGTGTCTTCTTGGAAATGACTGCTGGGATAAGTGTCTTCTTGGAAATGACTGCTGGGATATGTATCTTCTTGGAAATGACTGCTGGGATAAGTGTCTTCTTGGAAATGACTGCTGGGATAAGTGTCTTCTTGGAAATGACTGCTGGGATAAGTGTCTTCTTGGAAATGACTGCTGGGATATGTATCTTCTTGGAAATGACTGCTGGGATAAGTGTCTTCTTGGAAATGACTGCTGGGATATGTGTCTTCTTGGAAATGACTGCTGGGATATGTATCTTCTTGGAAATGACTGCTGGGATAAGTGTCTTCTTGGAAATGACTGCTGGGATAAGTGTCTTTTTGGAAATGACTGCTGGGATATGTATCTTCTTGGAAATGACTGCTGGGATATGTGTCTTCTTGGAAATGACTGCTGGGATATGTGTCTTCTTGGAAATGACTGCTGGGATATGTGTCTTCTTGGAAATGACTGCTGGGATATGTGTCTTCTTGGAAATGTCTGCTGAAGTATGTATATTCTTGGAACTGACTGTACATTCAGTTTTCCTAACATGTAGTGATAATTACCTTTTCTCTCTCTCTCTCTCTCTCTCTCTCTCTCTCTCTCTCTCTCTCTCTCTCTCTCTCTCTCTCTCTCTCTCTCTCTCTCTCTCTCTCTCCTCTAACACTAGACTGCAGATAACTTTCAGACTCTACTGACAGCCACACTTAGGAAATAAGCAGCCCAAACACAACTAACGACTACATGTGAAAACAAAATTTTAACTTACACAGAAAATCATCATCTTCAGGTGTGGCAAGAGACATAAAATTTGACATTCTCTTTTTTCTAAATGGGTACACATGAACTTCCACTTCCTCATTGTCAGAGTCTGCCTGTTTCTTTCTCTGAAATAAATGTTTGTATTTTAGAAGAATAAAGAATCTTTAGTAAATGTTAAAAATATTCTATTACATAGCGGCAGTTGCTTTTGTTATTATGTCCAACAGCAAAGAAGTCAATTTAACAGTTATAGTATTGTATTTTTGTCTAACTGTTATTCTGAGCGTGAAAACAAACCAAAAAAAAACATTCCTAAATACAGTGCCTGCCTAAAACTTCTTTCAGGTGCGTTGTGTCCATCTACTATGGACTATTTTTTCTTATTGCTTTCACCATCACTACGCTTGCCTGTGGATCGGAAGGTCAATATGTTTGGGTCTTTATGATTCCGGACTTTTTTTTTTTTAAATCACCTTAGCTCCCACGTCAACCCAGCTTGAATGGGTACCAGGTATAGTCTTGGGAAGTAAAGGTGGCTGGCATGATGTTGATCTCATCCCCCAACCAGTGCTGATTGGTCTATTAAATTTAGGTAGCCCTAAATGCCCAATACGCCTGAATGCATGGAAAAGGGTCCTTTATCTGACGTGGTCCTTTACTTTACTTCTCTCAGTCACTTATGATGGATTTCTATAAGTTTCTCCTGACTTTCTTTAACCATGCCAGTGTAAAGTTCTGCAACCCGTTTGTTGTCTGGAAGATGGAAGATGGGTGACAGATTCAAAGCTGGAAGACTAAGGAAAAGCTGCATTTCAGAAGATGAAATGTAATGTTACTTTCACTAAATGTCAGTAGAAAGGTAATAAGTTACTTTCACTAAATGTCAGTAGAAATGTAATAAGTTACGTTCCCTTAATGTCAGAAGAAATGTAATAAGTTACTTTCACCAATGTCAGAAGAAATGTAATAAGTTACTTTCACTAATGTCAGAAGAAATGTAATAAGTTACTTTCACTAATCTCAGTAGAAATGTAATAGGTTACTTTCACTAATGTCAGAAGAAATGTAATAAGTTACTTTCACTAATGTCAGTAGAAATGTAATAGGTTACTTTCACTAATGTCAGAAGAAATGTAATAAGTTACTTTCACTAATGTCAGAAGAAATGTAATAAGTTACTTTCACTAATGTCAGAAGAAATGTAATAAGTTACTTTCACTAATCTCAGTAGAAATGTAATAGGTTACTTTTACCAATGTCAGTAGAAATGTAATAAGTTACTTTCACTAATGTCAGTAGAAATGTAATAAGTTACTTTCACCAATGTCAGTAGAAATGTAATAAGTTACTTTCACTAATCTCAGTAGAAATGTAATAGGTTACTTTCACTAATGTCAGTAGAAATGTAATAAGTTACGTTCCCTTAATGTCAGAAGAAATGTAATAAGTTACTTTCACTAATGTCAGTAGAAATGTAATAAGTTACTTTCACTAAATGTCAGTAGAAATGTAATAAGTTAATTTCACTAGATGTCAGAAGAAATGTAATAAGTTTCTTTCACTAATGTCAGTAGAAATATAATAAGTTACTTTCACTAAATGTCTGTAGAAATGTAATAGGTTACTTTCATCAATGTCAGTAGAAATGTAATAAGTTACTTTCACTAATGTCAGTAGAAATATAATAAGTTACTTTCACCAATGTCAGTAGAAATGTAATAAGTTACTTTCACTAAATGTCAGTACTAATAAAATATTGTGTTGCAGTCAAAAATAGCAGTCAATATTGGACAATGAGCTAATAAGTTAGATAGAGCCTGGAGGCAGCAGCAGAGGTAAGCTTTCTGAAACAAATACATTGAACAACAGCAGAAACTAAAAATGACTAGCTAAAAAGTAGCTCATTATGTGCATCTACTAGAAAGAACCACTAAAGACATGGAACGAAAGTTAAATGCCTTAGAAAAATACAGCTAAAGACGATTAAAGAAAGGTGAACAAAAAAGAGAATTCTCTTAACTAAAGGTGTCAACAGTTATAAAGACAAAGAAGATACATTTGGTACATCCTCAGGAGAAGGCAAGAGAGAATCACCAAAAAGGCACTTAAATGAGAAACAAATTGACTTAAGAAATGAGACATCCAAAAGAAATGTTAAGACTAACATTGATAAAGAAGGCCAAAAGTGCTGGACTGGACTGTACAGGATAGAGTCAAATGAAAGAATAAAATACAAACCCTAAGTGATATATATATAAAACAGACCAACAGAGTGATAATAATGGAGAGTTTTCTTTAGGACCATGATGGGAAAAAGAATTGAAGAACACTGTAATAACTGTAAACATCAGTGGTGGAAGTGGCAGAGGCAGACTGATTAAATTGTTATTGGATCATCTAAGGCAATGGTATGGAGAAAAATCATCAACAGAATTGATCCATAACAGTGTAGTATGCGATCAAGTGATGCATCGCACACTTGCCAAGTATCTAGGGGAACTGTTTATAAAATTCAGTCCTCCACACAAACACACAGGGTTTCCTTCAGCTGACAAAACATGGCCACACATTCTCATTGGCACAGTTCATGCTGATGGTGATTATAACTGGAGTAAGGAAGGCCAACCAAAACAGAGGCACCAAAATAACCCAGGCACAAGTAACAAGTTAACAACCACAATACATCTGGCACAGGTTGCATGTACTCTCATAACCATCAACACTACCTAAGAACAGTGTCATACTTTTTATGGATGAACGCACTGTGACAAAGATGTGATCCATGACTCACTGACAAGTCTAGAACTTCCGACTAAATACACTCACATCGAAAGTCCCCAGAACATGGTCAAAACACCCTGTCAACAATGTCCAGGTGCCTGTAATGTTCAACCCATCATCCGAATACATTTTATGTTATGTTCATTGACAGTCCTCTGACAGTTCTCCCTTTGCCCCGCCACCCAAGAGCCCAGGGTTAATGCACCACCTGATGAAATGAATCCAGATCTCCCATCTGCTACCAAGTCACTTATTGAAGTAATACTGATCAAATTTCAGTTAACCAGCTTCCCGATACCTCTCCATCATAACTTATAGCTGGCCAACACACACTAAGTTACCCTGGCACCTTCTGTAGCACTTCAGGACACCCCATCAACAAACATGCCGCATAGCCACAACTGTGCTGATCCCATACACCTGACCGACACAAGAAAATCACTCTGACAGAATTCCAAAGTACAGCTGATTGATGATCCACCAAATTCAGTGGACAGATTTCGAGCTCGAACAAAATAAAACATGTTAAAACTGTCACATGGGACTTGAACAATTTGCGCAATCGTTCACACACTTAGACTGACTGAAAGCAATGACTGACTCAAATGTCATGCACTTCTGTGAACAATGGTCAGCTTTGTGGACCTCACATTCACCACACAACTCAGGACGTTTGCAGTCACCCATGCACATCAGACAACCTCTGTTTCACAACTTTAAGTGGCTCAAACGTTTACACTCACAACCCATCAACACAACATGAATGCCTGTGTGTACCCATGCTTCACAAAGCTCTGGCTTTATTAACTCTTTATATACCAGTTATTTCCGCAGACAACAAACAGCAGAGACCAAGATCTGTTGACAGTCATAAATGCCTATCTCATTTGGCAAAGCACATGATGATGATGTGCTATATAGATTCTATACATGATATTCTTCTTCTTCTTCTTCTTCTGCGTACATCTGAAGATTAACTGCATTATGCCTGTTTACAACATAACTGTGATATTTGCGCTTTTTGGCTGACACATCCAATTTCTTCAGGCATTTGTTGACCAAGCTAGGCTTTCTGGCTACACATGATATATTACCCGTTTTTTCTGCTTTGTCGGTCCTGGAACTTTCTCCTTTGTGCTATCTTTAAAAGATGCCTTCTTTGGAGGTTGAAACAGTCTTTTCCTTTGGTTCACTGTTAACAGAAATAGATCATTTATATGCTATAATTCTAATAATACACAATTTAATATATGATGTGAATACATTATCGTGCTGTCAGTAGCATTTGTCAACCTCAGGGAAATACCCCCCTCATCATCTTGTCTGTCTTATTCTTTTTTTTCCTCAGCATTCTGAGCCCTTGAGGTTCATTGCTGCAGATATCACCTGCCTCCATTCATCTCTCTGGTTGGCCTCTTTCCAGTTGGTGACACTGCGTGTTTGCAGGTCTGTCTGGATATTATATTGTCTGTCCCCTGTTATTTATCCTCCCCTCAACCTCTCTCTCAAATACACATGAAGGCAATCTTCTCACCTGCTCTTGATTTCATAATTTCAACTTCAAACAATTTTAAAGTATGGATAAAGCAGGTGATGGGGCATCGCAGGTTGAGCCAGCCTTAAATGGGTAACAGGATGCATGTCCTAGGGAAGTAAAGACGGACGGCATAATACTGACCCCATTACCCACCTAATGCCGACTGGTCTGGAAAAATATGGGTGCTCTACCCATATGCCCAAGGTGCCTAAAGGCATGAAAAGGGATCTTTACTTAAAAAGCAAGGGTGGGGAACAGCTGGCCTGTGAAATATTTTTATCAGTCCCTGACAAACCTGGTTAGGTAGTTGCCAGTAGCAAAGTCAACAATACTCAATAACAATTCCAGCCATCACATTAGAGGTGAGTTCATTAACTTCTGTATCAAATAAAACAGGTTAATTTTCAATTTGATAATTCTAAATAACCGTGAATAATGCTACAAATGTCCAAAATAGTCCTTGAACAAAAACATAAACAAAAAAAAAGGTTCCTACCATCTAGTCCATATCAAAAGCCCTAAAATGGCTACCAGAACATTTCTGGGGGGAAAAAAAGGTGGCTGGCACACTACCCAGTGAACTGCTAAGAGTCACTAGAAGGATATGATCTGTTGTCTATTCTACCAGTCCTGAGATGATCAGGGGTGATAGGACTAACTACAGTCCAGGTGACTGTTTAGTGTTATGTCTTCTAATTTTGAACATGATCACATGTTCATCTGAAACAAAGTAGAAACTGTCTCATTGGATGTGTCCTCTTTTTATTTCTTTTTAACTTGGAAAGAATTACATGAAAAATAATAAATGTGACTATGAATAGCTTAAGATTTAGTATGTTACCATGATTGAAAACATGACTGTCTGATGCCCATTATTGAATGTAACGTTATTCTAATTCATGATTCCTAGAATGTCATATTTAATAGTAAAATAACAATTACAACAAATTATGACTGAAAGAATAATGAAGACTAATAAACATTACAAGATAAATTGACAGCAGCTCAGTGTCGATCTCACTCACATACACATGAACTATAGGTTGACAGGCTGTCTCCTCCAAAGACAGATCCTCAGACTGCAGGAACAAGTGTTTCAGGCCCTTCTAATTACAGCTTTAAACTGTTTATGTTGTCTTGTGTCTACTATGTCTACATCTTTTCTAATCCTCTATGTGCCAGTCAATACACATCACTTTGTGTATCACACTCTTTTATAACTTCAAAGTTCTTCCCATCAATTTATGGGATGGCAAACTGGCAACAAGAAACTAATGGAACAGATATTATAAGCTGAAACCACATTCAACAGCAGGGTGGCACAAGAAGGTTTCAAAAGATGACAGGGGCCAGGGGCATTAAGCAATTCTGAAAGCCAGTTAGCTCATTTATACTTACAATAATCTGTCATTCTTACATTTTGTCTAGTTTAATTATAAGTAAAGTAAAAAGTAAAGGACCCTCTTCCACGCCTTTAGGCCTATAGGGCATGTAGGGCTAGATCTATATTTTTATAAACCAATCTGCACAAGATGGGTGATGTTGTCAGCATCACGCCGGTTGCCTTTACTTCCCGGGTAGTTTAATTATACATTTTTTTAAATCTGCAAACTATTTATTAAATTTAAAAAAAAAAAACAAGGACATTTTTGTCTTCATGGGCAGTTTTGTATTCTACTGTTAAAAATCTGATTAACATGAAAACACACTTTTTAATTATAGATTTAGAACATTTTCTGATCAAAACGCATCTCCATACTTTCACGTTCCCATGTTTACAAAGTTTATTTTCTCCTCTTTTTAATCACATTTTGTTATGTTGGGGAGGTGGGGGGCAGCAGGGACGGGGGGCTTGTCATATACTAAAGGGTGGCTCAATATGAAAAAAGGTTGCAGACCACTGACTTAGAAGATATGAGACAAGAAACACAACACCAACAATATCTCCATAATCAGATCAGTGAACTCTTCAAGTGAGTTCTGGGGCCCCATTGTGGGGAAAACAAGAAAAGATCCAACAAGAATAGAGCCTTTCCTCAAGCATGTCATAAGGGTATACTAACTAGGGGGTTTCCTTTAAAGTCGGAGTGCATCTACCTGAAAGGCAAGGAACTAACAATTGCATACAAATAAATCAGATCTGTAAAACGGATGTGCATGCAACACTCAGGCTCTGAAACAAGACTAAAGGGCAAAGGTTGACACACAACCAGAACTTTCAGCCACAGTTTACAGTCAGTGAATGCGAAGAAGAAGAAGAAAAAGATTAGTGAACATAACAATTGTGTTTACCTTGTGATATCTTTGGCTTTTCGTGGGCGGGTGTCCACTCAGAGTCAGATCCCTCAGAAGATTCTAGAACTGCTGGAGTTACTAGTTTCTGCCTTTTCTTCTGTGATTTGTTTCTAAGCATGAACTCTGGGGGAGTCGCTGGAAAACCTAATGAATATAAACAAATATATATAATCTGAATATTAAAACTACCAGGAATACATTAGGTATACAGTTTAAATGCTTGTGTGAGAAATAAATTCACAGGTACTTATCAAATACTTATGCAGTCTCAGGGGTCAGAAGATCTTAGAGCAACTTTATGTGGTATGGCCTATCCACATATTAGGTCTCCAGTCTAACCATTTGCAAAGGTTAAGTTATTCCACCGCAGAAAGTAGGTGAGATGATGACCGCAACATCCATCATGTGCTGATTGGTTTTAACAGAAATTCAGAGCTATCACCAAATGTTCAATATATCTCTTTGTGTGGAAACAGGTCTTTAACTTTTTGTGTTGTTGTTGTTTTGCTGCTGCTGCTGTTGTTGTTGCTGCTGCTTTTTCACACACAGAAAGCTGGTTTTTGCACTTGGAGAGGAGAGCTCTGCAACCCACTCATTATCGAGCAGATTCTTAGTTTAATGTCTGTTGGAAAGTCTCTCCACCATCCTCATTCCTTAAGAGTTAAACCCTTTCCAGGCTAAGAGAGTCTGAAGATCAATACACTAAACAAGTTAAAACTCTCATTTCCATTCTCCTTTCTCTTCTTCTTCTTCTTTCAGAATTCTGAGTCCTTGAGGCTCACTGCTACAAATATCACCATCCGCCATTCATTTCTGTGACTGGCCTTTTCTTTCCAGTTGGTGGCTCAAAATGTTTCAACTTCCACAGATTTTGAAATCAATTGATTTTTTTTTTCTTTTTAAACTTCAGCACTCGCTGAAACAAATTTAGGAAATAAATAGAGTTCAAAAGCACTCAAGATAACAGACAAAACTGAAAGCTTTGGGCACACTACAATGGAGTATTTATATTGTTGTCAAGTCTGTTCCTCAGAACTGTAATTATTTCTTTAACTTCTATGAGTGCCTATTTATTTATTCTCCAAAGGCTCAGATGCTTAGGACATGCTTGAAAGATGGAAAATGGAAGGTTAAGTACATCTTCTTTGGTGAATTACAGATGGTTTGAAGATGTCAATATCGGCCTCTATTATGATATAAAGAGATTTGCAAACAGAACATGAATGATACAGGTACTGAAGTAGATCTTTGAGAAAAAGAGGCCACAAGCTGTTTGTTGCATGTAAGAGACAAATCATGAGAGCAACAGGGATAAAAAAGAAAATGTGTGCAGACAGGTTAATAGCGGAGCATATGAGAAGACGCACACTAAATGCGTGTTATGACAACAGCATGGTATGATAACACTGATGGTGAAATTCCAAGCTCTAATTATGGAAGACTTTTCATAAAATGAGCAGGTCTTGTTAGTCCCACTAGCCAACGATATGGGCTGTGATTCCTATGCTTTACTTTTGCACATCATCATCATCATGTAGCAGGTCCTTTGCAGAACGTCACTCTCATCACAGTCTGTCCAAAAGAAACTCGGTCTCTCGCCAGCTCTCCCATCTCGTGGTCTTTCATATTAAAGGAGTCACTTATATCCTGTGCCCATCATTGTGTTTGTCGGCTCCTGCCCCTCCTTCCTGGTACCATACCTTCTGCTAATATTTTTTCCAATCCGCCATTGCGCTTGATATGACCAATATTTTTCAGTGTCCGAGACAAGATGCAGTTTATTAGCCAATCTTACTTGATGTTCAGCAGATCTGTTAAAATGTCAGTATTTCTTCTCTTCTTTGTCCATGGTTTGCTTAGAATCTTTCTATAACTTTTCACCTCAAAAGCCCCTATTTTCTTTCTCAAGGACTGGGAGATAGTCCACGACTCACATCCGTATGTTGCTACAGGGAAGATGCATGCTTTCAAATTTTTAATTTTGATTTCTTTTTGCACAATATAACACTTTTGGCTGGGAAAATAGAAAGGTGCTAAACACAAGTACCTATATATATCTGTAAATTTAATTATTACTTTTCACTAGTCTCAGTTGTTCATCAGCTTGTTTTGCTTGTGTGTATTAAGGATAACGAGACAAGGGGAGAGAGAGATGGAGAGATAGACAGAGAGAGATGAGGTTGGGGAACGGGGGGAGGAGGGGGGGGGGCGTGGGTAAGAAAAATACAGGACAAACAAACAGCCATACTTTCTCTGAGAAACAGACAGCAAGCAAGCATTCAATGTCAGAGCAGATAACCAAACTGAACAATCTCTATTACAGACCTAAAGTTAAGGAGAGACAAGATCATCTGTCCCAATCAGAAAAATATCTTCAGTAAACTTTGGATATGTTTTATATTTTACTATCTGTTCTGCCACAACAGACTACATCTGCTGTCAATCCTCATTCACAATTGCTACAAAATGGCTTGCCAAATTATGTTGGAGATCCTTATTCTGTGCATCTTGCTGCTCCAGCATAATGTACCAGCTAGTATACTGACATTATTCCATGTCAGGACAAAATGTTGTCAAGATTCTTCTCTCACTGTCTTCCTCTATCTCTCTTTCCATAAATCTGTCCAGGCATATTTCATTTGTTTCTCTTCTATGCCCTCCTCCCCCCCCTTTCCCCCCACCTACCCAAACAGGACTGCTTCTTTCTGCTTATGTCTGTGATAAGTTGTTTTAAGCATCTTTCTGTTGAACCACATATTTGAGGCCTCCAAGAATGTTCCTGCTAATTTATTAACTGTTCACAATTGATAGCCATATGTTATTAAAAGTTATCAATCCACATTACAATCTTCATAAAAATACAAGATGCACTTTCTTACAAGTACGAATACTAAGTATAAACTTCAGTATGGACAAATGGACAAAGACATAACAACTGACATACAACTACACAGTGTGTTGATTCCTGCGTGACATGTGGCAGCACTGTAAATAAACAGACTAATAAACGGATGTCAGACTAACAGAGTTATACCTGCACGACGTAAAGCCTCAAAGTTCTTCCTTAAGTTACTGAAGCGCTGTTTCTCATATTCAGAGATCTTGGCAAACTCTTCAGGTTTGAAGAACTCACTGATGGAGGATGGGAGGCTATCAAAGTTTATATCCGAGCTCGGCATTGTTGAAAAGCTTGTGGTCCTAATTCTTAGAGCAGACAGAGCATCTTCTCTCTTTCACTGTTGCTTGTCAATACATGTAGGTGTATTCTATACAGAAGAAGCACAATAAATACATACACATAATGGTAAAAACAGTCCTGACATCCCATGCTCTAAGTGTGGAAACTTTTTTCAACTGAGGTCCTTTATTTTCTCCAGGTCATACCCGTGTGTTAGGGAAGGAGCAGACAGATAGACTGGCTGGTTCTACACCACAAGGTGTTGAATGGTGTTTGACAAGCTGGATGTTGTGAGGGCCCTTTGGGAGCGAGTGAAAGGTGTGGGGGGGGGGGGGCACAGATAAATAATTACAGTCTGAGGAAAATGGTGCTGCGAGGTGTTACCAGGAGAACTGGCCGACGCTCAACACTCAAAATGAAAGGCGAGATGGACACACAATCAGATAGTTATTGGTATCAGCAGAATAGGAACTCTTTGCCTGGTGCTGAACATGGGAAAGGAGAGCCTATGGGAGTGTCCTGTGTGCTATAATGTCTAGTCTTGATTCAACATTCTTAACTGTTTTGCTAGTCACACTCGCCATCTTCAAGGGCTGTGAATTCTATGTCTCCACATAGCATAGTATAACATTACCATCTGGAAAGACAGAAAGATGCCAACCAACCAACATTCTATACAGACTATACTTGCTATTATCATCTGTTGGTCAGTGAGATATAGGGACCAAGTCTGATATGATGGAAAGACGGAGAGATGCCAATCAACTATTCTATACAGATTATACTTGCTATTAGTATCTGTTGGTCAGTGATATATAGGGACCAAGTCTGATATAAGGGAAAGGGAGACAGAAATGATGTTAAAGAAAAGTTGAGTGGAAAGAGTCAGTTACTGTAGATGACAGAGGGAGTCAGTTACTGTAGATGACAGAGGGAGTCAGTTACTGTAGATGACAGAGGGAGTCAGTTACTGTAGATGACAGAGGGAGTCAGTTATTGTAGATGACAGAGGGAGTCAGTTACTGTAGATGACAGGGGGAGTCAGTTACTGTAGATGACAGAGGGAGTCAGTTACTGTAGATGACAGAGGGAGTCAGTTACTGTAGATGACAGAGGGAGTCAGTTACTGTAGATGACAGGGGGAGTCAGTTACTGTAGATGACAGAGGGAGTCAGTTACTGTAGATGACAGAGAGTCAGTTACTGTAGATGACAGGGGGAGTCAGTTACTGTAGATGACAGGGGGAGTCAGTTACTGTAGATGACAGAGGGAGTCAGTTACTGTAGATGACAGAGGGAGACAGTTACTGTAGATGACAGAGTGCTGGAAATCCACTAAGCTGAGCTTTACTGTAAAGATGGCAGCTGTTCTAGGCAGGAAAGAATTAATCCTGCCACAAATGGCCCTAATCTGTAATGAAATAGTGTAATGAAATTAATTTACTCCAGTGATCTCCAACCTTTTTCAGGTCTCACCCTCTCGAGTATATAGCAAGACAATCACGATCTGCACTCGTCGCTGAGTATATTATATTGCAAGACCCCAAAACCCCCTTGAGTGTATAAATATATAGATTGTGTGTTGCGCATCCTGTACAGGTCGTTGCAGAACCAACCCCAGCAATTTTTGGCTGTTGTGGTTTTTCTAGGCAAATTGACGTCCAGTAGTTTGCCATTGCTTTCGGGACGGTCGGCTTCTCGACAACACTGTTGAAACCAACGCAAGGCGCAAGGCCCGCATTCCGGGATCTAACCTGGAATTACGAAGCTCGCTCGCAACGCCTAAGCCTCAGACGCCGACACACACACATATATATATATGTCCATGCCGACTTGAGTATATAGCAAGACAGCCCCCCCCCCCTTTTTTTTTCCAAACCACATAACAAACTGTGATGGATTCTGAACCAAGTGAAACAGACAATATCATATGGAGATATGTTTTGGCCAGAATGTATTCTCAGTCTACAATTTAATGCCTGTTTTCATAATATTTATATTTTAAATGCATATGTGCAAACTGCTTCTTAAAACAAATAAAAAAAAAATTCCACGGCTTTGTGTTTCTCATGCTGGAGACGGCTGTTTCACTCATTATCTTTCATTCTCTGTCAAAATCACGGAAACTCGCTTAGCTGTCTACTACTAGTGCCAATCAATAATTGTGCAGTCAGTGAGATGTTTGTGTGTGTGTGTGTGTGTGTTCCTATTCGCTTGTCCAGCCGCACTTCATCATCATCGTCATCAGGTGCCGTGCCCGCCAACTCACACGAACACTAGAATTACGGATAAGTTCAACGTTTTTGTCTCGCCCCATCCATCTGGCCAGGCCATGCAAATCTGCCTTTCTCTTGCTCTCTTTCCATTGAGCTTGCCTGTTGTTACTATGTTCGCGAGTCCATTCCTTCTCATAAAACACTATCTACGTCTAACTGGTCTAATAGTAATAAGTTTACGAATTTTTATCTGTCTGGATGTGTGCTGCTTCGTTTGTTTTTCTATCCCTCTGTCTCTATGATATCCACGCTAGCCGCACCTCAACCGCTTCTAACACAAAATGGAATTTACAAGATGGACATTTTCAACTTTTTCAACACGACGAGGTTTTCTCAGGACAATTTCTTAGCACCAAAAAAAAAAACATTATCTATTCAGGTACACTGCGTCCCAATGTCGACTCAATTTTGGGCTATTTCCGAATAACGGTCCCAAATTATCGAGGCCGAAAATATACCCTAACAGGGCCTCAGTCACATGTCAATTGCGAACTTCCGGCGACTTAAATTGCGCACTTCCGGCGACTACTGCCACCGTCGAGAGTATCTCCCACGCCGCTACGGCTAAACTAGATGGCTGGGACTCACGAGCCCCAGCTACCGCATCCCCTGCAGCTTCCTTAATTTTATTTGCTCGTGAGTCCTAGCCATCTAGTTTAAGCCCCACTCCACGCCGTGCGTAGCGGCGTGGTAGATACTCTCTGCGGTGGCGTTAGTCGCCGGAAGTCCGTAATTCACATGTGACTGAGGCACTGTTAGGGTTTATTTTCGGCCTCAATGATTTGGGACCGTTATTCGGAAGATAGCCCAGTTTTGTGTTATTTCGAGCTCACACCCCTGGCTGTTGCGGGGGCCCTAATATAACCCAACCACGGCCGACTCTATTTAACTGGAGAAGGCGGTGACCCAACCTATGGCATCTGTGGCTTAGGCGTTGCGAACATTTTCGTAATGCCGGCGTGCCATGTTTGATCTCAGATACAGGCCTTGCGCTTTGCGTTGGTTTCGATAGTGGTATGGAGAACCGACCGTGCAGCGTAATGGCAAACTACTGGACGTAAATTTGCATAGAAAAACTACAACAGCCAAAAAATGCTGGGGTTGGTTCTACAACGTCCTGTAAAGGATACACAAATAAACATTTTTATGGGTTAAACGGTCTTTTTGTGACCAGTCCTCGTGTGATCCTCATACGAATGGTGGCACTTTGTGTTACCAGGTGTTTATCGCTCGCTGTGAGTCCTGGTGGCGTTAATCAGTCAGCATCGGGTGTTTATCGCTCGTGGTGGGGGTTGAACGTCAATCAGTCAGCACCAGGTATTTATCGCTTGTGGTGGAAGTTGAACGTCAATCAGTCAGCACCGGGTGTTTATCGCTTGTGGTGGGAGTTGAACGTCAATCAGTCAGCACCGGGTGTTTATCGCTTGTGGTGGGAGTTGAACGTCAATAAGTCAGCACCGGGTGTTTATCGCTTGTGGTGGGAGTTGAACGTCAATCAGTCAGCACCGGGTGTTTATCGCTTGTGGTGGGAGTTGAACGTCAATAAGTCAGCACCGGGTGTTTATCGCTCGTGGTGGGAGTTGAACGTCAATCAGTCAGCACCGGGTGTTTATCGCTCGTGGTGGGAGTTGAACGTCAATCAGTCAGCACCGAGTGTTTATCGCTCGTGGTGGGAGTTGAACGTCAATCAGTCAGCACCGGGTGTTTATTGCTTGTGGTGGGAGTTGAACGTCAATCAGTCAGCACCGGGTGTTTATCGCTTGTGGTGGGGGTTGAATGTCAATCAGTCAGCACCGGGTGTTTATCGCTTGTGGTGGGAGTTGAACGTCAATCAGTCAGCACCGGGTGTTTATCGCTTGTGGTGGGAGTTGAACGTCAATCAGTCAGCACCGGGTGTTTATCGCTTGTGGTGGGAGTTGAATGTCAATCAGTGACATGCAGCAGTGGGATACTTTGAACAAGTTTAAAATGCGTAAACCCCTCATGCGTAGAATACAACATCATCTCCAGGAAAAAACAAAAATAGAATTTACGTTGTGCATAACGGATAAACATGGAGATGGCTTTAAAGAACATCAGACTGCATGCTCTCTCCATCGTTATTTAATATCTTCGAAGAAAAAAAAATAAGAGCTGATGCTCTAGAAAAACAGGAAACAGTTAGAACAGAAAGATTACACACAACAAACCTTACGTTTAAAGATGATGACGCATTGTCTGGGGAAGTACCAAAGTTGGCTTCAGTAGCTGAAGTCGTCCTTGATGAAAGTCACTATGCATGGCATTAAAATAAACGCAAACAAGTTGAAATGTTCCTAATCATAAATAATCCGCCTGATAAATATACAAATATGCGTTAAGGTCACAAGCTAGAACAAGTTAATCAGTTAAAATGTCTAGGAACTAGCTGGACTGAGGTTTAACCCAGAAATCCATTTAAGAAATGCCCACAAAAATAAGTCCTTGCTAAAATGCTAATATTATGGCAATCCAAACAGATCCCATATAAAACAAATACAACTGATTAGAACGGAACACCCGAACTCCAAAATCAGGGGTGAGGGGGGGGGATACAGGCATTGAAAACAGGGGCGCCGCCACAAAGAAATAATTGAGGGAGAAGACATTGAGGTTCAATATTTTATAGGAGCGGGATTTTCAAGAGGCTTAAAGCCATGACTCTTCAGGGGTTATTGTTAAAATAGCCTTGCTTAAGTCTTAAGTGC